GGGTGTTTTGGGGTAGGCGGCGGTGGGGCACCCCGCCGGCGGGGGTCCGGGGGTCAAACCCCTACCCCGGCTTTGCCCCCGGGGGCCCCGCCTGACAACCCTGCCAGGTGGGACTGATTTTGAGATCGGGACAAGCATGTTGGTGTGGTTATTGTGAGCGAACGTGGTGATTGGAGGCGGTGTGGACTTGCGGTTGGTTGGGGAGTATCGTTGTTGGTTAAGGGTGCAGTTGGGACTACATTGGGACTGTCTGGGACATTGGGACCACGTGAAAACTCATTCGTGGGAACACCCTCCTGGAGGGCTATCTCACTTGAGTTTTTGTTGTTCAACCTCTGTTCTTTTGAACAGTTGAGAGAGGACGCGAAGCGTGATTCATGAGAGAGACCACAACTTGTGGAGTTGTGAGCTGCATATTTTTTTTTACGATTGGAGTATTACTCGACTTTCTTAAGTGAGCCGATTCAAATTTCACTCAAGGTCAGTTGAATGATTTCGACTTCCCTTCACGCCTGTGTGAGCCCACACTTGTTTGACCCTGTTCATTGAATGTTCATTGAAAAGGCAAGGAAATGTGTGTTTGCATGTGAATGGTGAGGTCTGACTTGGGTATGGGTTTGCATTGGTTTCCTTTGAACTTGTTTGTTTGCTTTGAGTGCAAGTAGGTAGAAGGATGCTTGCAACGGAGTTCGATTTATGCCTATTTGGGACAAATGAAAAGGATCGTCTTCCTTCTACTTCCTACCTGCTTGTCTGTAAAAAAAAAAAGAACAAGTTGTTCTGAAAAATATTAATTTAGTGCATATCGGGAAATGAACTCGATTGAAATAAAGCAGATAAGGTCAAAAGGACTTAACTTTTTCCCGAGGATTACCTGTTCTATCCCGAACGACCTTATCTACTTGTACGTGTTCAAATGACTTTCGTTCTCTATCTCCTCTAAGTTTTTTTTCGTCCAAGTTACCCTGAACTTAGGAGGAGTGAGAATAATTGAAAGCTACTGGCAGTGGATACATTCTTTTTCTCTAGGAAGCATCTGGGGCGGGGGTTCGTTGCTTTAGGAGCCGACCCTGTTATCGACCCAGAGTGAACCGTTCTACAAGGGGGGTACTTTGTCGATTCGGTGGAGACAGTCCGACTTCTGAGATCCGAGTCTTGTGCTCGGACGAGGAGGAGTACCCCAGACCACTTCCTAAAGGGAGAGACATGCAACACTTCAAGCAATGCACTTGATCAAGAATTATTCGCAAAGTTATTTATCATCAAAGAAGACTAAGATGTGTGAAGATGCATGTGTGTGCCTAATCTTTGGTCGGCGGTAGGCTGGAATGAACAACTTTGGCAACACGTCTCATCAAGTCAAAACTAAGGCAGCTAACTACCTTGTTGGCTGCATCTATATTATTGTCGGTAGCCAACTTCTTGTTGGCAGCTGTATGATTTTTGTGGAGTTCGACCCGAGGAGGTCGGATTTTATTTTGAACTTGTGTTGTTGAATATATTGTATGATGATTCGGATTTTTCAGTTATCATTTCATATTGGATATATATTTGTGTCGACTACGGTCAACTCGTTTGATATAACTCTATGTGTAGTTGTTATAACTTTCTTTTGACTAGTGTTTAAAGGGACAAGGGGGTTTCACGCTTGGTTGAGACCGTCCTAGTCGGCCGACGTCCGCTTCGTACTTAGGAGATCAGCGCCCTAAGGAACGGATGATGCTCGGATCCGCTTAGCGTTAACCAAGCATATCTATACTACAGCGAACGAGCAAACGCCCTCGGCTGACCTACCTCTGCGGTTGCATTTAAAAGCTTTCGCATGTGGGTCAGTAGCTCGATAGGGATACGCCCCTAAGGGTGGTGACAGCCCCTTAGGGAAGCAATTGAGCCCCGAGGGAACCTATCCTGTGGTAGGGGACCATGGGATGTACAGTTGGCGCACCCGGCTAGAGCGGCGAAGGAACGACGCGACCGCGGCCGTCTCGGCGGTTCGCGAAATTATTTAGCATCGTTCCCAAGTTGACTCCTGTTTTGTCGGTTTACTACTGCGTGACATGGTCGGGAGGGCTCTCGCCTTTGCAAAAAAGGCGGGAGCCGATGCGCTCGACACCGCTTGCTTCCCATGTGGTTCTCCGCAAGTTGTTGTGTTCGCTGTGTGGTGTGGCCGTGTTGTTGGTGTTGCCTTGCGCTTCGCTGCTCCAATGCCATGTTGCCCATCCGCTGCTCGTGCCTTCTGTGTTTGTTGCTTGTGTGCCTTGTAGTTTGGTTGCCTTGTTGGTGTTGCCTTGTGCTTTGTTGCACGGTTGTCGGGCTGCTTGTCCGCTCCTCCTGTCGTCCCTTGCAGTGTGGTTGCCTTGCTTGTGTGGCCTTGTGCTTCACTACACGGTTGCTATGTTGTTCTTCCGCTTCACGCGCTGTTCCTTGCAGTCGTCTTTGGCATTGTGCGGCCGTGTTGCCTCTACTGTGTTGCTTGGTGCTCCGCAGAAGGCGCAGTGTTGCTGCCCGCTTGGGGACAGTCTGCCCTCAACATGGGTCAAAGGGTTCATGACCCAAACCATCACATACGGAGATTCCGCAGATTGTCGAGGGTTCAGCCTCCTGATGAGTCGGTGCAACTTTGACAATCCATCATCATCAATTTTATTTTTTCAGTTTTCTCGGTTTTGGTACTTTCCATGTCCGCTGGTTGTTGTTGCTTCCCTGCCTTATGTGCTGGTGTGTTGTCTGCCCTCCCGCCTCCCTCGTGCCCTCCAACCTATGTGTTGTCTTAATTGTTTATATGGTTGTTGTCGTTTCCCTGCCTTATGTGCTGGTGTGTTGTCTGCCCTCCCGCCTCCCCAGTGCCCTCCAACCGATGTGTTGTCTCAAGGTTTTTTGCTTCCCCCGTGTGCCCTGTTGTGCCTTGTCATCCAACAGGACAATGCCTCCCTGCCCCTCGACTTTGTTGTCATACCTTTCCCCTTCTTCCGTGTTTGTTTGTGATGCACTGTTGTGTGTGTACTGGGTCATACCTCAGCTGTATTTAAGGCAATTATGCTCTGACATAGTTTTTCCCACCTTCTGCAGATGGATGCATTTGTCCCACGCCTACAAGTATGGACACTACACCTTTTGGCCACGCCCTGTCGAGTTTGCACGAATTGCGTCGTTGGTAGAGTACACTACGCCTGCATAGAGAGTGACCATGGTGTGCTGACATTTTTCGACATAGGAGCTTGTCTAGCATAGCATTCGTGCCATGAGGTGCCTGCGTGCACACACACTGTCATATGCCCAGTTGGGCGATGTACATAGAAACCGAGGATCCGCAATGTGATAAAAAGGACTGAATGGACAATGCAGTGCAAATAGAATCTCAACGAGCAATGTGCATTCTCATACATACAAAATGGTGCTGAATAGCGCAGTGGAAGATTTAGATACAAGTCTGACCTGACTGGGACTGACCTCATTCACGTAGCAAAAGATAGCGAAGCAGAATGCTAGAATGCTAATGACTAGCCCAATCAATGTTTGAATGCAGACCAAACATACATCGTATCCATCACCAAGTGTGAAGGAGCCTGGCGCTGTATACAGCAAGAAAGCGCCAGGTCCAGACATACACAAACGAAGAGGAGGGAATCAGACGAAAGGAGGGAGAGAGATGGGAATGTTGTCAACACCAAGTCTTTGTCACAAGTCCCAAATAATCCCTCGTTGTAATGTCTGAAGTCCAAAAGTCGAGTCTGGGTCCGATGTCACCAAGCTCTGTCTCACTTCTCTCGTAGTCTGCAGATGCAGTGAAGTCAGATGATGAGAGGGGGAGAAGGAGATGATGGACTGAGAAGAGGAAGAAGAAGAACTCTCTATCTCTCTGTTACGAGCCAGATACTAACCTGTGATGTTGGCGCTGTGCTGCAGGTACCTCGAAGACGAAGCTGGAGCAACGGCACTGCAGGTGAGTACCCAAGGCCTTCGCCCAATCTCTCTCTCTCTCTAGTGCTATCCTAGTTATGGCGCCCAACGCTGGAGACTACAGCTACCTACTGCGCCCAGCACTGAAGACTAAAGGCTAACGCTACTACTAATCCCTGCAGCGCTCTCTCCAGAGTGCTGCTCCCGAATCCTGAAGACTACAACTGCCCCCTGCCTGTAGGGCGGGCCAGTCTTATATAGTGCTGGCCCGTCCAGGAGGCTGCTCTTGCCAATGCCTAAACGTGCTAGACCCTGAGGAAGCTTCCGGAAAGTTTCTAGATAGCTTCTGGCTGAAGCCTGAGGAAGCTTCCGGAAAGTTCCCAGGTAGCTTCTGGCTAAAGCCTGAGGGCCTATAGGCCCTTGTTTTCAGGCTGTCAGGCTGAAATTCCATGGGGCCTGTAAGCCCTGGATTTCAGGCTTTCGGGCTGAAACAGACATGGGGCCGATAAGCCCTGGATTTCAGGCTTTCGGCCTGAAACAGAC